AACGTGTGTCGGACTTTTCGTGAGGTGTCTGGGGTCTTATATCTGTAGCCTAGGTATTATCTTAACAAGTAACACAAGTTCGATAACGAGGAACCCACTTTGAGACTAATAATGCTTGGAGACGGTTTGAATGGGTAATGAAGAAAAACTTTAATATAAGTTAAACATAAGAGCAAATGTACGACGTTTCGACAAGGTTTTGTCATCATCAGGTACAAGTAGTTTACACTGACATGGATATATATATACAGTATAGAACAAGGAGGTCGCATGACCGGATACTGTTGCAAGACTTAGAAGAGGTATGACCTGGAAGTGATTTACATTAAAGATATATCAAACTAAAGGCAAATCCCAATCTTCCTTGTATGCAAAATCAAATTTCAACAACAAATATCAAACCATTGAAAAGGCAGGCGTAGGTTATTATGATAATCAAAAGTGACTTCAGAGATTGGTTGTCATTATCATTACTCCAGGAGTGAGTTATCATGATCATGAATGACTGCAGGCGTACGTTTTTATGACCATTACTACAGATGTAGGTTATCATGATGAAGAATGATTACAGGCATAGATTATCACGATCATAAATGATTGCAGGCATGACCATGAATTAGTGAAGTTTTAAATTAGCATGAATTTGGATACGAGTTTTTCATAATCATATATTCAAGTGCAGATAACAGCCACAGCATGTGTAGCTAAGTAAACACATTATCGTTATAGGTTTTGCTTAGTGTATAATTAACACAGTCAAGAACCAAGTAAGTTTAAATACCAATATCGAGTCTTATGTAATAATGAAATCTGTTCTTCTTCTTTTGTATTCTGGTTTGTTGCCAGATTGTTTTGTATTTCTTAATCCAATGTTTTTCGAAAATCTAAACATAAGTATGTGCCATTAGACGATTAATGAGCCCGATACAGGACTGTCAACAGGTATCGTATCTCCTGAATGCAGCATCTTTCAAGAAAATCAACAAAGCATAATCTATTTTATATATAATTTATATTTTTTTCAAATAAAGTCTTGTTATCATGAGTAAACTTTTCGCTAATAAGAGCTAAGCGTGCTTAATCTTCTCTATTTTTGATCTAATAAACTAGAGAGAAAACAGCGAGCCAACAACACCCACCGTAAACTCTTCATCTACTCTTATCTAATTGAAAAGTGGGACTTGAGCCACTTGGCTATCAATTTTATAACGCAACTACGGCACCAAAGCGCAGAACACGATTTTGGCGACATGAACCATTGACTCTCGAATTCGCAGTCCCGACATGCCAATAACTAGACCACACCCGGAACATCAACTAAATACCATGTTGTATTTTTAACGATTATTCGGTATATAAAGGTTATTTATGCTAAGTTACAGGCTGATAATAATATCTGATATTGAATTTCGTCGCTCGTTACTTAGTGAGAAAAAGAAATTGTGAAGGTGTTACTTTGCGAAGTCAGCGGTGCACATACGGACTTAGCGCTTAAATCCGAGGTTTGATAATCCACATTTGATGAAACATAAACAGCCCATTGTGCAGCTTTGCGCTAAAAACCCAACAATAACCACTAAATATTGATAAATCTATACGAAAACTTCTCATTGTGTTAAAGATCCACAGACATTTATTCCAGATATTTCTACAGGATTTAGTCTTGCATAATGGCAAACGCAAAGACTCATTATCATATGGATACAGATATATAATATTAATTCTCACATACTTACAACTCCACGCGGCTCATTCCCACACTGCATAACATCCAGTGGGAGATCCCTAGAGCTCATTCTCAGGTAATGAAAGTACATTTGACCAACCTCATTGAGTAGCAGATCCGTAGGATTTATTTTCATCTAATGGCAAGCACATAAGATTAAGTTCCAATGGCGGTGGAGTAATAAGACTCATTCTCACAAAGTGAAAGATTCCTATCACTCACTTTCACATAATAGCAGATTAATATGACTCATTCTTACT